CCCTGCAATTAGGGAACAAACCACTGCCTCCTTCTCTTTCTTTACAAGTCATTAACATGTTTAAGTGTCAACTGATGGCAGCACTGAAACGGCCAAAGCCATGTTTTTCTCAATGCTGATGAAAACAAAGCGACAGGGTCTCAGCACATTTCTGATGCAGAAAGATGTGGAGGATGAAAACAAGCTAAAGAAACAAATGTACCAGATAGAAATGAACAGGATGAAAAGAGGAGCTAAACAGGGACATGAGGCACTATTCAAACTCAGGTGAGCGTGGACTCTGAGTAATACCTGAGCTCTTCTCCCTCACCTGTGCTGTGGTGTCTGGTCTCTCTTCAGGCCTGGATGGTTGTTTGGAGGACTGTTTTTTTCTAGACAAGAGAAAGAGTGAGCAAACCAACGGATCATCAGATGAAACAGCTGCTTCCTGAATTTAATACGCATTACCAACTGTAATCACAGTGAAAGTGAACTGCTCACCTAATCAACAGGAAGGCAGAAAGGAACAGGAGAGCCAGAAAAACAGCTGTGATTGATCCAGCAACTGCTGCTTTCATTGAACCTGGGAAACAGTGATCAAACATAAACACTGACAATTAATCATGTAATTTATTCTATGGTGCCCGGGTCTTTTAGCAGCTGGTGATTGGACATAAAGCACAAACTTCAGACAGAATCAAATCAAATCAAATCAAATCAAATTTTATTTGTATAGCGCCAAATCACAACAAAAGTCATCTCAGGACACTTTACAAAGTAAGGTCTAGACCTTACTGTTATCAATATTATTACATAGGGAAAAACCCAACAAATCCCCCTTGAGCAAGCACTTGGCGACAGTGGGGAGGAAAAACTCCCTTTAACGGAAGAAACCTCCGACAGACCCCGGCTCTTGGTGGGCGGCCTTCTGCCTTGACCGGTTGGGGTGAGTGGATAGAGGATATAGAAAAGAAGAAAAGCAACAAGACTCAACAAACAATCAAACACTGATCAGGTCGATGTGGCTGGTGACTGCTCGTCAGAGACGTGGAGCTTCAGAGCCAGGGCAACCTGCAGAAAAGTACAGGGAGAGAAAGAGAGGACACACTACAGGAGAGAGGAGACACAAAGTTATTTTGCTTCATTTATTGTTGTGAAAAGGGAGATAATTAGACATCTCGACCCCGACTTACTGTGACAAATTCAACCTGCTTTATTCCTGTGAAGCAAGAAAAAATAGAATAATGTTGCAATGCAAATGCTTACACATTAGCATGATAGTAACACGGTTAAGTGTTAACAAATCCTGTCTCTTCAATACAATTTTATTTTTAGCCAAACCCCAAAAAGAATGAAGCCAATTAATTTGAAAAACAATTGTTTGATCACTCAGACTATTTATTGATTTTGGCCTGGGGAGTATTCAGGTTTGTTGTATATTGTATTTAAGGTTATTCCTGTGACATCGTCCTATACCACACTAGTATTTGTGCTTTTTGGGTCTGCAGACTCAGTCCCAACTGGCGAAAAGTACACAATGGCCCCAACAAATTAATGGTGTTGTACTTTGGCTAGGTTATTTAAAATAAACAGCTTCCCAGATTTCACTGTTTTGTTTGTTTGTTTGTTTGTTTGTTGTTTCAGGCAAACAGGCGCATGATCAAACCTTGTCTAAAGTATCATTTACACAAAAGCATTGCCATTTGATGATGTCCTCTGAAATAAAAAGATATTGGTTGACTAAAATGCTAAAATATTATCCATCACACCTCTGCACTGATTAACACACTGCTGGAAGCTTGGCTGACTTTAATTTCATTGATTTCTCTGATACTGCAGGCAAAAGAATGACAAAGCCATGCGCATGGGCAGCATTGGTAAGCTCCTTTGTTATTTGTATTTCAAATACTTGTTTCCTTCATATTTTACATATTATCTTGATGAAAGGATAAAATCACCCTCCATTATAAATCTTGCTTAAACTCACAGGTGAGAAGCTGTTATGGTTTCAGGGACAGTTGGATCCGGCAAAGACAGTGTACACCAGAAAAGATGCCTGTGACATTATCGAAAGGTGGGGTCATGTATATTAGAACAGAGACAATTTATGTTTAGGTGTTAATTTAACACTGATCAAAGCTTTTTCATCATTATTATATGAGAGATAGTTTTCCAAGTCCCATTTTTTTCTCTTTTTCTGATTGTTGTTCATCATCCACCCACAATCATGTCTTTTTCTGTTTACACTGTTACAGACATTTATTAATTCTGAATTACCTTTGACTATCTCATATAACAATATGATTTGCATTTGTTTAGTTGCGGGAAAGGCTGTTGTAAAAAGCAAACTCCTCTAAAAGTAAAAATACTCAAGAGGTTTAGCATCTTTGTAAAACAAAACCACTGACATCTATCAGTTTTTTTTTAATCTGCACATAACAGATTTATATTTAGTGAGCTTGTATGTTTTCTTGGTCTGTGTTTAGGTACCTCCAAAGGTTTGATTCTGAACTTGAACAGATCGAGCTGATGAACAGCATCAAGGGTCGTCAGGGTCGTCTCCATGGCGCCAGAGAGGCTGTCATCAAACAGACCATTGAGCGGGAACGGGCACAGTATGAGGGCGTTGGATTTGGTGAGTCTTCACTGTATAAATATATACAAACATACTGTATATCATACATACTCACATTCAGAAAGTGCTCCATGACCATGTGTTTTATCATCCTCAGAGATCCCAGACATCATCAACACAAAGCATTTGAAAACATTCAGGTCAGTGGATGAGAATTACAGTTTATGTATTTGAGAGGAGGCCAAAATGTGGCTGTGCAGTTTAAATTAAAATGAATCTTTGATTTCTACTGCATCCATTTGAATTGTTGCATGATATTTTTAATTGTATTGTGATGGGTGGCCTGTTACATCATTTGTTGATTCTCGGTTTTTGCAGGGAGTGGACTGGTGATCTGAAGAAACTTCCAAATATTAAACTACGAAAGGTGTCTAGCAAAGGCCTGGACATGAAGAATGAAGGAGAGGAGACACGTGAGGCAGAGGAAGACAGTAATAAGGAAGATGAAGATGTTTTGGACGATGAGCAGGTAGATGAGATGGTGCTGATGTCGGACTCAAACTGAGGCTCTTCGTATTTCACCATGTTGTGTATCAGAGTGTCAGACTTCCTGACAGTGGAACTGAACACCAGGCTGGCTTTCGTGTGCTTGTGAGATAATGTTGTGACTTGTCCAGGAGGTGGCGCCAAAACCCCAGAGATGGTAAACTAAGACTTTTGTCATTGTGTCCTCCTTTTAGGTCTTTTTGATGCTTAGTAACTGAACACCAGCTGAGGTGGGACGGTCTACAATCATTATTTATTGCACAGAAAAATGCATCATATGTAACCTGAATAATCAATTTTATCCAGTCAAAAATTGAAAAAGGTTTCAACAATGGTGTTGAGTGGTGGATATTAGACAAAAAAAACTATTTTCCATGTTGTGAGAATGACACAGATTTAAAACACCCAATTAAAAGTGTAAACAACAGTTGTCTGTAGTCGATTGACTGGTCACTCACTCACCCAGTGTGTCAGTACAAACTGAGACCTATATGGTTTTAATCTAATGTAAAAACATGAATGGGTGGAAACCATGAAAGCTCCAGTCACATCAGTGTACAAATAATGGACCTTGCAAAGCAGGACTATGTGAAGCTGCAAACAAAATGACAAATAACTTGTGAGAAATATTCAAAACTTTCCTATGATGGTAAATAACTTCTCAAATATTACATGTTTAGGTATCAAACATAAGCTAAATATATTGTTTAAATAATAGTTTTTCTATTTGGTACTGTACTTTTATAGTGCTTTATTTTTACACATTGCAGTGCACTCAACATGCCTAATTGACCTAACAGACCTAATTGTCCAGAAGAAGAGTTAAGGCCTCAGTATGCTTTAAATGAAGAACTTGATGGATCATCTAACAGTGTCTCAAACCACCTTTCAAACTCTTTTACTTCACACAGCAATTAGTCATATGTGCAGGTGTCTTTTCTCAATTATTATTATTATTATCATGGACTATATCTGCCCCTTTACACAAAGACTGGCCAGATGTACAGAAATGAGAGTTGACAGGGTTTGAACTTTCTCTCAAGCTCTTTTTTTTAAAAACTAATTCTATCACTTGCAATACTATGAAAGAGGGTCTAAAAGTGTTCAAACAGAACAGGCTGTGACGCACCGCGTGCTGTAACTGTTGAGTCTGGCCAACTTCAGATGTGCGATGTCGGTCAAAGTTCATTTGAAGCATGTTGAGACCTTTGACTAATGGCATCCACGGGGTCTTCACACCTGAAACATAAGCCAAGTCACTGCTGCTTTTGCATACAGAGATGAAAATAGTGAAACTGCAGCCCTTAACGGTTTTCTTGCTGATGGCTTTATTTCCCTATCTTAGGCTTTCAGTTGTCCTTGATCACTGAGGGACTTTCACTTTAAATCCACTCGTGTCTCTCAAGATCGGTGATCAATGGAGCTGAGAAGAACATATAAAACATTGAGTGAGTCTCAGTCAGACCATGATCACATCAGCTTGTGTTGTGATTCAGGACTTCTGAGTACGAGGGGAATCACTCAGACAGGGTTTGGTGCTGGTGCCACAACAGCCTCCACTGAAGTGTCAGAGTCCACCTGCGCTTCTGGAGCCAGGACAAGGGCTGGGCTGACGGGAACCTCCACAGTTTCATGCCTGCCGTCAACGAGGGGGCTGGGCCGTGCCTGAGAGTTGCACGGGTCTTTCTCAGGGCAGTTCTGCACAGTGATGATGCGGTTAAAGGCCTTGAGGCGACGCCACAGCTGCAGGTAGACTTTACACTGGATGTACATGAAGATGAGGCCGCCTGTGAAGCCTATGGCCACCACGATCAGCTTGGTCCAGAAGGGCCACTCCAGCACACCTGAGAAGCGCACACAAACATAAAGGCTGTAAGTCAACATGCAGGTTGTGTGACAGATCATGGTGGCTGCTGTGTGCAGTGCTGCGCTTACCCTGTGGCGTGTAATACTTCAGAAGAGAAACTCTCCATAAATCGTCTGCAATCAAGAGTGAGTGTAATCTCTCTTACATGAACTCAGCAGAAACAAGTTCTATGTTTTTTGAATATATATATTAATGTTTATTAATATATATGAAATGATTTAGCATAGTGCATCTACACTCAGTTGCCAGTTTATTAGGTACACCCAGTTAAATCTAATGCAGTCTAATCCTGCACTCGTGATAAATCCTCTTTGATGAAAGTGATAATGTTCAATTTTGTCTGAAACTGTTTTAGATGTGTTGAACTTCATGATCATTGTGGATGATGTAGTTAGTGCTGCTGCTGAATGTTGCCACCACACTGAACTCTAACATAACAGAGGCACCCCTGTATAATGCAGTACAACATCAACACCTCTTAGAAACAGTTTGAACAAGAAGGGAGGATTAACTGCAGGACTGCTAGAGTAGACATAGATTTAGACAGGTGTTTCTAATAAACTGGCAACTGAGTGTATGCCTTTCTGCCTCTAAGCTGAAGTCCTACAACATGAGAATAATAATATGCTATAATCACAGCACAACATACCATCTCACAACAATGAACAGACAAGAACACTGTCAAGTCCAGTTTCACTTTAACTGAGAAAGTCATCTATCCATCCATTTTCCTCCGCTTATCCGGGACCGGGTCGCGGGGGCAGCAGTCTAAGCAAAGATGCCCAGACTTCCCTCTCTTCAGACACTTCCTCCAGCTCCTCCGGGGGAGGCGTTCCCAGGCCAGCCGAGAGACATAGTCCCTCCAGCGTGTCTGGAGGGAGAAAGTCATCTAATCTTCTTTAAACAACACACTGGTGTTGTGCATGTTTTAGCCTATTAACAAAAAGCTGAGACATCTTTCTGAAACTATTTTCCTACAATCAGCCTTTGTTCACATAGATCCTGGTCCAGTTTTTGTCAAAATCATATGCACATTTCTTAGCAGAGTTGAAACTAGTGTGGTGTAGGAAAGTTCTGCAGTTGACTTTGTGGTTTGTCTGAGCTTGATGTGAAACCTTGTATTTGCATACTGTTTGCTTTCTGGGTTTCAATTCCATCAGCTTACTGTAGCTCTTGCCCTTGAATCAAATGCTTTTCTCTCAAACTTTTAATATTGGAATTTGCACAAATTCACCAGTGTTTTCACAACATCCTCAAATCCATGTGATGATAATAGAACATAAAAAATGTAGTCATGTCCATTTTGATAGATAATACAAATTTCAAGTCTTACAAGCAAGTAGCCACTGCTTGAAAAG